CAACGTGTTATGCACAAGAAAACATGACACGACGCGTGTTTCAATTATCCCGCCATTCAAAATTATGACACAGAAACTATACGAAGACCATTTGAGTTAATCTTAACAATAGACGTTACTGCAATAATCAATAAATACATATGACGCTTAAAGCGGTTAGAAAATACAGGTAAAGATGGTCCGAAGCTCAATCGTTAACTATTGTGGCGTCGATGAATACCATAAATACCTGAGGTATTCTAGGTTTAATACACAATGCGTTTATTTTTGAAATACTTTACTAAATCGTCGGTTACCGTGTTTTGGTTTAGCTTCAAATGTTTTAAGTGTGACGCCGGTGCGAGCCGCAGCTAACGGCTAACGTTAACGGGTAGCGTTGAAGGCGCGTTCTGGCAAAAAAATATTTAAGTTGGGAATAAAATAAACTTTTATAATTCAGTCGTTACATGTTAAGCGTTAGCCACATGTAATTAGGTTGTCTCTTCAGTTAAGCGACTCGGAGGTCCTTGTGGTAACAATGTGGAACCCGTGTGATGGAATAACGTGAACAGGCCTAACGTAGAACAGGCCTCAAAATGTCTCCAGTTTCACAAAAACAAAACCCGCCAACAGACAGTGGGCTTGGGAGCAGATGAAGACCGTCACAATTTTAGATTCCACAGCCGGAGCATTGTCTTATTTACCTGTTTGCCTTTGGCGTACGGTTTTGAAGCGATATGGTATCTTCTGGATCTGATTTTCCCTCCTCCTGTCGCCGCCATAGCTAACTGGATTGAGTTCGCTCAGCAGCGCTACGCCGGATAGAGCTTCGCTGTCACAGTGCTGGCCTCCAATATACCATGAAGCACTGCGGTCATTGGGCTCATGGGAAATTGAGTTCACAAAACCAGTAGCCTTGCGATTGCTTCATGATCATGGTAACGTAATAAGGTTACTGTGGGTTTCAAATATACTATAATAGGGCTAATATAAAAGATACAGTTTAAGGCGAACTGCACCTTTTTTTATTCACACCCTTATTTCTTTTCAAATAAGGAATCAATGATACTTGAACGCCATATTTTACTTGAAAACTGTATGTTCATGTACAAATGTCAAAATAAAACTCGTATCTGGGTAAAGTTTATTTATTACAGTTCAAAAATGTACACAGTCAGTCACAAACCAGCACAGTCAATTCCAAACAAAATATTTGCAAAAGATTTCTTTATATTTTCACATTCCATGTCTACAGACAAAAAGAACACTTCTGTTAAATATAAAACATATTTCATAATCAGAAACTTAAAATAAAATTAAATATCCAACAATTTGGTCAGAGATGATATCGTAAATAAAAAATGCTAGCACTCACTTCATAAGTAACCATTGCATATTTGTTGTTACAAGTTATTTTCTGATTAGAAATACAGCTCAAAATCACTGCAGACATTTCTCCACTAAACATTGGTTTAGCAAAATTACCTTATATCTTTCTCTATTTTTTTCACTTAAAACACTACAAAACGTCATCATGATAAAATAAATAATTCAGAAAACATACAGTAAACATGAATAAAATTAAGAAACATGGCATTACAACAAAAATATGGTGCATAGAATGTCTAAACAGCCTTTTTGGTACCAAAGAGCAGATAGAAAACTTTATAATTACATTTTTAATTACACTGTATGGTTTCTTTTATCCTTGATAAGTCTGGATTAAAACAAAATCATGTTTACTGAGAGGTGGGACTGACATTTGTGCCAGACATCTGTTGACGCAGTTTAACCCTGTTGCATTTTACAATTTGTCATTTTATTTCATTTGAATAAGTTCACATAAAGCCTATTAGAAAGTGCATCAAGTTAATTAGTGGCATTAAATGGCATATAAGAGCTCACTAAGGGATTGTTTACCTTAAAATTATACCTTTTTGATATTCACCAATTTAATTTTTCCCATCCAACCCAAAAGGAAATAATTTATAAAAACTTTAGCTCAGTCGTCCACAATAGTATATTAAGGCTTCTTAAATGGCTTGGAATTTCAATTACTCTTACCAGAAAGAAAACGTGTGTACCAGCTTATTACAAGGCAGATGTGAGACCACTCATCATCTCATCAGAAGCCCTCACAAGCTTTCTGCTCCATTAAAACATCGGTTGTCAGAGTCCAGTTCTGGTCATTTCAATTCACTTGTTCCATTGGATGACTTGTTTTTTCGTCCTTTTCTTTTTCGGTATAAATTACTGCCACCACTGAAGCTCTTCTCTGTTAATATGAGAAAAAAAAATCACGTTCTTAAACATTTAAATTTAGCCGATTCAAATAACAGATCACTTATTCTTACACAAAGGGGCTCCTAATACACATGTACATTAATAATATTTGAACAGTAATATGGTTTGTTGGTGGTAAACACCTTACAAACAAAATTCAGGGGAAGATTTCCTAATTGGGAATTTAGTCTCTGCACAGTATATTAACACCAAAGACGTTATGCAAAGAAACCAAATCAAAGCCATCAACTTTCTGTTAACCCAGTGATGGTGTGTTACCTTTGTCAGAGCAAGGAACTTTATCACCCAAATCAACGAATCCCCTTTCATCTCCAATGCTCTGTAAAAAATCAGATTTATTAGATTCAGAAATATTAAAAGAAAACCCCAAATAAGTTTAAATAAAGACATCTTAGCTTTACTTTCATTTTCTTCCCATAGTTCTGCTCAAACCAAACCATTCCGAACAGGCAGAGGGATGTAATGAAAGCCTGGGGTAGAAGCGACAGCAAAAAGTACACCAGGAATATTAGGAATACAAAATAGCAGGTTAGCTTAGAAGAAATATAGGAATAAAATTAACCAAGCAAGTTATACCCTTTATCATGATGTAGGCAAGAAAAAGCAGGTAAATTCTTCTTTGTAAAAATCAATGTTTATTTCTGAAGTTCACATTAAACACATTAGAGTTAACAAGGGTGCTGAACAGAATAAAATCACGGACATACACAAACAAATAATAGAACTTCACAATAGTGGTTCCATCATCAGCCTGATTATTGATCTGATCAGGAAGTTTAAGCTTGTTATCCAACGTATTGGAATTAATGTGAACAAAGTTACCGGCTAGTCAGGCCTTAAACTTGGCAGCACACTCCGGGTTCACAGATCTGGGATCCCAGAGTGGAGACGGGTAAATGTGATTGGACTAATCAAGATGTCTGCAATTGGATGCTTATAAAAAGGAAACAAAATGGGGCTTAAAATTGAGCCATGAGGTATTCCGTAATCAACCGGCATTGGAGCAGACTAACTGCACTCCTACAGGGCTTAATAAAATCTGACTGACTTGCTCCCTCAGTATCAGTTCATAATCGACAACATCAAAGGCAGCATGAAGATCCCTAGATATACAACTTATCTACCCCCCCCCCATTAAAACTTTCGGAGTGTATGCTGCTTCGATCGCAGACCATCCCCCCCCCCCCCAACAATTTGTAAATTCGATAGCATTTTTCAGTGTGGTGCCACTGTGGAAATAGATCTGGCTTTTTTTTACAGTTACAATGCGATCGAAATCCCAGTGTTTCATGATCACTTTCATCTCTCTGTGTGTACAGGATACAAAAAGATAAATTCTTTAAAAGTCAACTCACCAAACACAGAAACCAGAAGACGACATAAAGAACTTGTGTGTTAGAAAACAAATCCTGTCCAAATTTAATACAAGCAAGAGCCTCTAGGAAAGCAATCGCCCTGTTAGGACCGAAACAAATACCATCAGCTTTGTGAACATTTGTTTGTAATAAATACAGGCCCAACATGTACTCACCCAAACACCCAACATTGAGTCCCAACTCTTTTGCACTGTGTGTCTGTTAGATATGCGTAACACTGCCTGAAGATAAACAAAAAAGCTCATTACAGAAGGATCTATTCATTAGATGCTAAGGTCGCAACAATATATTCTGCTCACGATACGATACATATCTTGATATACACGATACAATATGCATTACAATATTTTACAACACAGTTTTTAACCAACTACTGAAACTTTTTATATAACAAAAAAACCATTGGTAAAAATGTAATTTAAAAAGTTTTGAGACCAGAAAGCTAAAAAGGCTAGGGTCTAGTTTGGTTTGTACGAGAGCATTTGTTACCATCCATCCACTAGGAGGCAGTGTTAATGTTTGCGTTAAGTCATCTTTTTACTCTAAGTGATGGAGAGACCTAAATCTATCATCTTTCTCGTTTAAAATTTGAGTAAAAAGGATAATCGTGTACTAGTAAAGATTACATAAAACAAGAAGACAAAGCAAAGAAGTTTCAGAAATGACTAGAATCACAATCACAATACACTGTACACAGCTCCTAGACGATATCTCCCAATAGCTCCATGATACGCATTTTGACAATTTTATATTGCGATACATTGTTTGATTGTTTGATACACCCTATTTGATTTATGTTGCATTGCAAAATGTGCATCTCCTTATTTCAGTTACAACAAATGAATGAGTGTCTAAAAGAATGGGTGTTTGGAACATTTATCTCAAATCCTGAACACTAAAAATTGATCATTTCAAAAATTATCATTTGTGTGATTGTTTTATGCTGAGTTCTTATTGTGTTCATTTATATTCATCCGTCATTGTTCCAATCAGTTTTACATCTTTTGTACAGTGCTTTGGTCCAAGTTCATTATTCAATTTTTGGGGTCACATATCTCCAGCTCACATTCGGTGAGAGGCGGGGCCAGTCCATCGCAGGGCAACTCACACATTAACACCTAAGGGGGAATTCAGATTATCCAAGTAACCTAACCGCATGTTTTTGGGATTGTGGGGGAAACCATAGTCCTCGGAGGAAACCCACACAAGCACGGGGAGAATATGCAAACTCCTTCCAGGAAGGTCACCGATGAGCTTTGAACCGGCAACCTTCTAACTGGAAGGCCACAGTGCTGCCCTCTGCGCCACCATGAAAAGTGGCTTTCTGCACGTAATATTGACCAGCCCAGAAGGGACTTGAACCCACAATCCTTGGCTTAGTAGGGCAGTGCTCTCTCCATTAGGCCACTGGGACACTTGGTCCGAGTTTTAAGGTGTAAATGTTTGCTATATTTAAAAAAATAATAATGAATAATTACATTTAATTATTTACATACACACTAGATGCTTTTATTCAAAGCGACTTACAATTGAGAGGAAAAAAAAATGTAATTTGTCAAGAATGGAGCACTAAATCGGTTTTTCCATGTCAGCAACTAAGATTTTATTATTATGTATCTGTAGCCACTGTTTGCACTTAAGCTCACAAAAGAGTTTTATCTCTATGTTTAAATTTGTTTGTGTTGGCATTGTTCATAAATGGTTTCAAAAGAAGTGTTTACCTCACTGTGGGTGCAGTTATGATCCCGATAAAGAGAATCCGGCACCAGCTGAGTGGATGAGATGCTTGGAATACAAAGATGTGCTTCAGGAAGAACGTGTTCAACTCTGTAAGCTGGTGCAAAAAAAAAAAAAAAAAGGATTGAAAAAATTGGGCATCCACCACCGATCACCATCCAGATGTAATTCAGTGTAACTCATGTAACTCATAGAGTGATGAGTTTAAGGGGGTGCCCCCAAACAGTGACGTGGGGTGGGCAAGGTATTCAAGGCATCAAAACAACAGTGTTGGTTTAACCAGTACAATCTCAACATAGTATTTAAAATCCAGTATCAAGTAGCTCCATTATATTAAGTTGACTATGTGACAAACCTCACAACTTCCACAGCAGACGATTAGGTCTTTAGGAGGTTGTACTGAGGATGGTCTCCCCTCATGAGCGAGGACTTGGCATAAATAGAGTAACAATTTCAGTGCATCAGCAAATGCAGTCCCTCACCTGCCAGATGATCATGAAGAGGTAGATTCCAGCAACCCTCTGAAAAGAGGATTTGGGATCGAACCAGTGCACGTATGTCCAGCTGGCTGGAGTAAACTGCAGAACAGCTCGCTTTAGTTTCCCTGAGGCACTGTGGATGTCCCTGATTGATGCAACGTTACATATTCAGCTCACTAAACATGCAAAACATTTAAAACATTTTTGGTATAACGTTATATACACATGACGTGAGTCAGGCCATATTATATGGAGTCGTTTTCTAATATTCAGTTCTAAATGACGCATTTTTGTAAAGCAGCTAAACATTGACAACAAATTAATTTGTTCATGCATCAGTTTACGTAGAAATGGAGCGCTGAGATGATTGATCAGGGAAATGATGACACCTATTGGATTTGACGGAAAATGGAAGTTTATAGAGGAAGCTGCTTAATGGAGTCCAGAAGGATGGTTCTAAAATTAGCAGCACGACAGTGGAGCACAGGAGCAAGTGTGGTGTGTAGCCACAGACACTAAATTACTGTTAATAATACACCTATCATGTTGTTAATAATTCACCTCACACACCTTTCACAAACCTACACCTACAAAAACAGAGAAATGACGCACTTCAAAATCGGCTTGTTAAACACTAGATAATTCTAGCAAATAATTCTCCCGACTGCGAGAACAGTAGAACGCTATTGTATGTTGAAATTAGAGACAAATTCTTAATTTCTCAATAAAATGGTGAAATAAAATAAATGTTTTAAAATGATTTATTTTTTAAATATTTGATATTAAAACATCCACATCGGTTAAACTTAAAAAAAGTAAAAAAAATGATACGTCAAATTTTTAAATGCTCATGGAGTTTGGTTGCTGTTTAAAACTATTAGTGAAAATTGTTAAAAGCTCTGCTATAATAAAAAAAAAAAAGATAAATAAAAATCACCCGTATTTGGAAGCCGTAGCCATCAGGTAAAAATGTATACATTTTACACGAAAAAGTATTTTTTATTTCTATTGACTAAAATATGACATTCTAAAGATAGGCCATTTTCAAATATTTAAATGCTTTTGTATTTGTATTATTATTATTATTATTATTATTATTATTATTATTATTATTATTATTAAGAAAGATTTTTTGACTTAAATTTTCCTGCAAAATAAAACCGCCCAAGCATTTTAACAGCAAATAAATTTTAAAGATGAATGAAAGCATAAGTAAGGCTGACTTGATGCTGGCCCAGCGGTATGTGCGCATCTCCAGGAAGTGGCACACACTCATCCCCAGCCAGATTCCTCCTCCGTTGCACAGCAAGATGTCTAGTATCACTTGATCCCACCAGCACTCTGCAAAATTCGGCAGGAGGTGCATGAAAAACAACTGCAGAGAGAGAGAGAGAGAGAGAGAGAGAGAGAGAGAGAGAGAGCTTTAAAGGAATAAGATAATGTGGGTGATGTTTTGCTGACAGTGTCGACAATAGTTTTGTAAAACTACAAGTAATTTTTATCAGTATTTCTGACCTCAGTGAGCTCCCAGGTGATGCTGATGGTCCAGCAGAGGCCGTAACTGCGGATCAGCAGAGCTTTCATCGCCCATCCCCAGAAATGACCGAATGCAAAGATGTCGAAATGACTCAGGATTCGTTCCCATGTAATCACATGACAGTTTACTGCATACTCCTGGAAATCAACGCACGCACAAAAACTTAACAAAAGGTAATCAACCAAAAAGAGTTGCTTTATTGTTAGACACACAATAATACACATAACCTTGTAAAATCTCCTTATGTTTCCAGTAATTAGAATCCCGGTAATGTATTCAAGACATTGCTTTCTCACCATGACTTCCGCCTCTCTTTTAGCAAACCGTAGTTCTGGGTCGAGCCAATAAAGCAACATCTTCACCTGATCCCAGTTCAGAAATATCAGAAACACCAAGAAAAGGAAGTACAGCACACTCAGACCTGCAAAATCAGTTCAGACATTATTTCACAAATCAAGACAAAACACTTAGAGAGTGGAAGAACACCCCATTACTGGAAGTGTGACTCAAAAGAGAAAATAAGGCTCACCGAAAACCATGCGCCATATTGCAGGATGGGGTCTTATGAAAGGACCTAAATGAAACATTTTGAAAAGTTATTTGTAGAACAAATGTTGTATTGTTATTAACAATTCACAGGGTTTATCTATGAAAAGAAAAAGATTTAAATGGCAATCACCGGCCACATTATTAGGTACACTTGAACTGCCTTAATCGTTTGTGGCATAGATTTAACAAGGTACTGGAAACCGAGTTTGGCCCATACTGACATGATGGACCACACCATTACACCACCCTGAACTTTTGATATAAGGTAGGATGGATCCATGCTTAAATGTTGTTGATGCCAAAATCAGACCCTACCATAAACGTCGCAGTTGAAATCAAGATTTATCAGATAAATGTTTTTCCCAATCTTCTATTGTCCAATTTTGATGAGCCGGTGCAAATTGTTTCCTCAATTTCCAGTTCTTAGTAGACAGGAGTTGCTGCTGTAGCCCATCCACTTCAACTTTGATGAATTTGACCATTTTCTGTAAACTCTAGACATGGTTATACATGAAAATCCCAGAAGATCAGGAGTTTCTAAAAAACTCTGAATCCAGCATGTCTGGCACCAACAACTATTTCACGTTCAAAGGCACTTAAACCATCTTTCTTCTCCATTCTGATGCTCGGTTTAAACATCAGCAGTTCATCTTGATCATGTCTACTTGCCTAAATGCATTGAGTTTCTGCCTTGTGATTGGCTGATTAGCAATTCGTTTTAACGAGTAGTTGTACAAGTGTACCTAAAAAGTGGTCTGTGAGTGAATTTTACTAATGTTTTAGAAGAACTTTGTAACAGAAGCCACAAAAGCATGCTTTAAATGTTTCGTTTATGAAGAGTGTTGAGTAAATATTATCAGATCTTTTCAACAGCATTAGTTCAGTGAAAGATAGCTGTACCGTTGGGGAATGCAAGAATGCTGATAACGAGGAAGAAAAAGACAACGAGCAACAGGGAAACTCGCAGATTGTTATCCGAGTCACCATCATCCCTGTGCAACAAAAACATGAGATCATAAATCACAGGCAGATAAATGCACATCATTAAACCACCTTTCACAAGAGGTCTGGTGTCTTTGTGAAAAATAGAATTCAAAATTAACTAAAGGTCAATTTATTAATGCAATTCTTTGCTGTGGCTAAAATTTATTTACAGTATGGCCAAAATATTATACATCAGAAAACAGTTCATTATACTTATACCTGATTGGCATTTTATAAAGGTGTTGCAGTGATGTCACTTTCCACCCGACCACGCCCACTTCAATAGGATTGAGTGGAAAAACAGTATGGCCAAAATAGCTATATTTATTACAGATGAGTGCCAAACCATGAGGTAATCTTATGATTATATTTAAAAAAAAAAAGAATTGGATTTGACTGTTCCCATGACTAACCAGACGACCAGCTTTACCTAGCTTTGATTGTTCTAGATTTCCACGCCAGGAAAGTACACAAAAGGCGACACCTGGCTATACTTTAAAGCGGGATTTGTCTGGACTATTAAAATGACTTTGTTGAAGTTATAAATCAGTGAGGGTCGCATATTTGGGCAATACACAAACACAGGATGGATTTTCTCCATTTGAAAGGGCACAAAGATATATTTAAAGCACAGAGATTGCTCACACAACAATTGCGCAAACAACTTTACCCCATTGAAATTTTTTAACTTGAATTCCCTTGAGCAAGAATAAGATTTTTGCCACTCACTCTAACTTCCGGGTACCGTGACGTCATGTGAAAACCCTCTATAGTCTCAATTTCTTACAAGCGGCACACATTGTTCCACTTTTTCTTATATACAATAAGACTGAATAAAAATGCAGAAACAAAAGGAAAATTAAATATGAGATTAATATTAGCATATCGCTGCCTTTATTGTAAGAAATACTAATAGTACATTAAATAATTGCCAGTACAGCCAAAATATTGGATTATCACAGAACGAAACTCCACGAAAGTTAAAAAGTGTCAGCGCAGGTGTATAGACTACAGTTCAACCAAACCTGCTGTTTACTCACCTCGTAAAGGCAAAGTACATGATACTGACGACGGTGACCGTCAACAGAGTGATGGTGTGCGGTTTGTAGAAGAAATCGACCGAGATGT